ACCGCGGAAGTACGTGTTTGTACACCTTTAACGAGGCGTACGCGAATAAATCCCGGTAAAACCAACTCTAGCACGCAAGACTCATCCGACGTGCTCCATACGCGCCGTCTCATAGAGAGAAAGAGAGAAAGAGCATTCTGAGCACTGTTGATGCATGCAGCCGTATATGTAAACTCGAATAAACAAGCGTCCTCTCAGAAATACGCACATTCGTTTCCATTGCTTGCGACGTGATATTTCTCAATTCGTTTGCCTATCGCGACGGGTTTTTGCAATTGATTTATTGCTTAATATTTAAAAACGTACGTACACATCGCGTAATAGTGGCGGTGATGGCGGTGGTGATTTTCACGTTCCGTGATGTTTTTAGAGAGAGAGAGAGAGACCCGTAACCGGGAAATGAAGCGCGTAAATTCTGAAAACTACGACGCGGCGTACTTCGTAAAACAATATTTGCGCGAGAGATCTCTTTTCTGTGCAAAAATTATTCCTTTATTTTTTTAATTATATTTCAATCTATTATCTAGGAAAATATTCTACATTTTTTTGCGACTTTTTTCCGCGCAATTTTGCATAATAACACGATTTCCGATTTGTTAATTAAATATTCGCATTTGCTAATTAAATATATCCGTATGTTCCGTGTTCATAAATGCGGAACGTAATATTTCTAACAATATAAATTTTCTTTTCAAACAAGAGAGAAAGAAAGAGAGAGAGAGAGAGAGCAGATTCGATTTTTTACAATCGTTTATAACTCGTAATAGGTTTTTTCTTTGAAAGAATACATCGAAAATGTTTTTTCTACGCAACCATTGCAACGCAAACGTTTAATTATGTAAACGTCGGTACGAGATAATTCCGCGGAGCGGAAGAAAGGTCACATGCGCGCTGCTCAGTTCACATTACATCGGATTTGCGCGCCAGACTAAACTCGCGCATACGTATGAACCTTTGCGCTTTGTGAAATGTGTAGAGCTTGTTGCAAATGCGATAATAGCGCGTCACTCGTACGGGGGTCTTCTCGTGCATTAATCCACCTCGAGGTGGAAAGACCGATGTCATGCGCAGAGTTTCGCCGGATGACGAACCGTTTCCCCCGATCTCCCTCCTCCAAAATACAGCGTCACCCATTGATCAGCCAGCCGCTCACTTAGTAGAATTCAGATCGCCGTCTTCGCACAGTGGTATTGTCTGGCTCGAGGCCCGTACGTCACTAATGGGGGGGTATGCGCAACCCCAGATACCTCGGTTGCATGACAAATGCGCTAATCGGCCTTCAGTACAGCATCGTTATGCCCGCGCAAAGCTATGAGTGATTACTTTGACCCGACGACGACGACGACGACGACGACGACAACGACGACGACTACGGCGTTGTCGCTTCGATGAATATTGAACGCAAAGCGCGATTATATATTCCGTAGACGTTGGCGTAATTTTACAGTGACGAGCGAAAGTAAAAATCTGACCGCGCGGAGTTGGTTTTTTTTTTTTTTTTTTTTTTTTAAGCCGCGGAGATTTAAGCTTTAATAATAAATAACAGAATAAATATAAATTATTAGTTTCTCTCTTTCTCTCTGTGCAAGATGAAATTTAACAGAGCACAGTCAAGAATATTGATGTGACGAANTTTTTTTTTTTTTTTTTTTTTTTTATATAAAATCAGTTTGTGCGTAACTTTTTCTTTTCGGACGATCGGTGCGCGTAATTCGTATATCAGTTCACGAGCAAAACGCAAGCGTGATTAGATGACGTTACCGCGCCAATATGGAATCGAAATCGTAACAGCACAGTGATATTGTATAATGAAATATGGTTATTGATACAAATTGCCGCGGATACGTTTTAGTACATATTTGTCACACGCCGAGAAAATTATTGCGATACCGATATTATTGGTCTACTAAATCACCGTCGCGAGGGGGAGAAAGAGCGAGGGGGAGGAGGGGGAACGAATCGGTGGGAAAGCAGATAAGTTTATCCAACGCGATTGCGATATGGGAACGCCGATCGTAAAATTTCCGAGGTGCGAGGATAGTAAAATCCTTCCGGCTTAAATCGAACGAGAAAATATGCCGCGATGTCGAAGTAGCCATCGGAAAAGTTTAAGACTCGGTTTTAAGAATAACGTAAAAGTTTCGACGAGAGACTTTTTACGAAAAATCCGCACGACCTGGACTTACGACATGCGCGTAAGAAAACTTTCGGTCGCTGACACGAATACGTACGATCCTTCTTCTCGAAAGAAAAAAAAGAGACGTACATAAAAGCGCGCGACGCGTTGTCCGCGAGCAAGTGCTTCGGTCCGAGCAAATCTCCGCAGATTTTTCGTTAATTTCTACGTACTGTGTTGGTCATTCCCCAGTTTTTACACACACACACTGCTTGTTTTTTTCTTTTGTTTTTTACTTCTCATAAGTCGGAAACTTATTTCTCTTTCATTGCATATCCTTCACGTTGATGAAAATTAAACTTTTTATTTATGCCGGTAAAATGTACGAGATATAGTTCAAAAATACGGAAGGAAGAAAACACCACGTGTACATTTCTTCGACTTTATCATCGCGCTTCTCTCGCAAAGGATATACCTTAAGTTTATTTTAGTTTTTTTTATTCTCTAGGTACGTTTTTTTCTTAAATGTTTTACACGACTTTATACTAGAGAGTTTTGGTTTAAAAAAAGCGATAAATTATTAGAAATTTAAGCGATTCCTAATTAAAGTCGCGTCGGCAATTTCAAAATAATTAATAAACAAATAAAGGAATTAAAGCACAGATCGCACGAAACATCATTCCTTGTGCGTAATCTCGAACATTTTGCATTAATCTTACTTAGCACGATTTTCCCCATTCGAAAGATCGATCCCCTCCACAATTCCAGTCCAACTTCCATACGTGGAAACAATGACGAAAGCAAACAGGAATTGCTCCGTCGAAGTCGAAGACCGATGACAAATGTCATTCTTTGGGAAAGGGATGGAAAACTCATTAACCACAGCCCAGTCTGTTGATGACTCTTCCGTAGTATCACTGTTATCGGAGGCATTCGAGTTAACTCCGTTCGAGCATCCTACGTGACGACGACTATACTCCGCACACAAGCTCAACTATTTCCTCCTCCCCCTCCTTTTGTTCCCGGAGCATTTCCGCCGCCCAGCGCCTCCGCCCGCGCTTCCATCAATCATTTCAGTTTTGCGCAAGATTCGCCCGTTATTCGAATCTCTGTTCTTCGTTTTCCTCCTCCCCGCTTCCACCTTCCGTTCATTCCGGATCGTTTCCGTTATTCCTCCCTCGTAAAATCGAGTTCTCGATTTCTTCAATCCCGCGCGCGTAAACACAGTTTGCAAACCCGATTTTGTATCTCATTAAAAATTTTTTTGGAAATAATTTAAAAAAAAAAAAGAGAATAAGTTTTCGATTGCTGAATGTTCGAGAAACAACGGTGTCGCGAATTGTTAGCACAATTCCGACGGACACTGCATTAAAGTTGCAATATAATTCTCAACGCAGTAGATAGTAGAAATTATTACACGGATATTATTACGACAGGCGAACTGATGTTCTTCTTTCTGCGACCGCGATTGCCCGCAGCAGTCGTGCAGCACACGTACGCGAGAAGTTGGGAAAATTTCATCGCAGTTTGCCGGACCGCAAAAACTGCAAAAAAATCGCGACAATACCCTCGCGCATAAAAGGTAGAATCCTTGAAAATATGCTCGGTGTAAAGTCAGTGTAACTAACTCTCTCTCTCGCGCGCGCGCGCGAGCGCGCCAAGATATTAAAACAGAAAATTTATTCATCATTTTCCGGTTTGCGTACTTTTTATAAATGTAATGCATATTTGTATCACCGAAGAGCAACGGTACCAAAATACAAAAAAAAAAAAAAACAAAACAAAACAAAACAAATCTGGTCTCTTGACAAACATTCGGCGTAAAATAGACAATATCGGGCTCTCGTTCGTTTAATTTAGCCTTCATGTTTATTTCAATGAGCGTTCATTCCGAGAGTTCCAGATAATGAGAAAGCAGTAAAGACAGATTAAGAGATTCCGAAACTCTTCCCGTTCCCGGGAGCCGAGATTCTTTTGTGACAAATCCATTAGGGACTTCGAAGAAATTGAGTTTGCGTCCGCGATTCATTATAATCTCATTTATAAATGAGAAACTAACTGTTCCCCCGCCCCTCCCTCCCATCCGTTCCGTCCCGAGAGAACTGTGACAGCCCTTTAATTATCGCGTTCCGACAATGTACGTCCAATAAATCATCCGAAAAAACGCGATAAAGTTCGATAACAAGTCGGCAATTTCGCAAACCTCACGAGAGAGAGAGAGCGCGCTCAAAAAGAAAATAATGCAAACAAGTGTGCAAAAGTAAGTATAACGCAAGGAGGTAGTATTTGTCACACTCGTTCAACTCGAAATAATATTCGAGAGCCGGTGTGACTTCGCGGAGAGAAGTAGGAAATATTCGGGTACACTAATTACTCGCGAAGTCGAATGTTTCCTCTAAAGAGTAAACTCGCGAGCATAATGCAACTTCGAAGCTTTATCAGTGTGTGTGTGTGCGGGTACGTGCTCGAAGGTGCTTACGTACCTAATTTACTGTCATGTGTGCTGCTCATTACCATTTCATATGCGGAGAAAGACCGTATATTTTGATGTAATAAACTTCCCTTGAATTTTCAAAGTGTGTCGCACATGAAGTTCGAGCGTGTGTATACACGTACTTCGAGTTGTGTATATTTTGCCTTCAACTTTCAATTTACATATCACGACTATTTGCAATCGTGCACTCTTCTTGAGAAAAATTTTATGCATTTATTTTTTATTATTTTCGCATTACTTTTTGCGTGCGCGTGAGAAGTATTTTTTTTCTTCGCGCTTAAGTAGCGCGTTTTAAGTTTTTTGTTTGTCTCACAATCGCGCTCACACTTGTACGCACACGCGTGTTGTTCAACTAAAAGTGGTAGAAGTAGAATTTGAAAAAAAACTTACTTGCTTGCGTCCTTACTTGTCTTCTTGGTGAAGTACGCACGATCGAGGAAATCGCTTTTTCACCGTGGAGCACCGAATAGAACCGTCTGGAAGACAATGGCGCGATATCAAGCCGAGTGGACCGAGAAACGCGACCAAACAAAAGGGAACAATTCTTTGGTTCACTGGTTGCGAGATATCTTCCAACTACTTTCGGCACAACTGCTTTTGCTCGACGCCCTCCTCCTTGATCTCACGAGCGAACCGCGATCTTCGTTTCTCAAGAGCTCCCGAATTCGCGATCATCAACATCCGAGAGTATTTAAACACTTGTCTCTCTCTTTCTCTCTCTCTTGCGTATAGGAACAGTATATAAATGATGATCTAAGATACGAAGCGATGCAGACGCGTTACAACAATTTCTCGCGATCGCGAGAATTTATTAAAGAAATTCTTCGATATTTTTGTCAGTGGCGCTTTTATTCCTATGCATATTTTATTTTCTCTCGCGCGACGTCTCGCGTGCGATCTTCTCTCACTACGCGCACCTGTCGCGCCGTTCCAATTTCGAGCTTGAACTCGCGGAAAACTTTGCGCCGCTATGTACGTATGAGAAATTAATGGACGTGTCGTCGACACTTTTCCATTCGCGACCGCGAGTTCTTGTTTTCGCGAATCGACGTAGCGCCGCGCGCGCGCGTGTAATCGACACTGACAAAGATTATCGCTCGTCGTGAATGTCAATCAATATTTACGCAGTTGATCCCGTAATCGCGTATTCATTTTTTTATTTTTTTTTCACGTCTGAAGACAGCGCGACGTTTTTTATTTGAACCTCGTTTCATTCGTCGCACGTAGTAGCAATTTTACATTCGCGCGCGGTGTGAGTTTTCGTATTTCGGATAAATTATAAATTTTTTCGTCTCTAATCGTGTTTTAAGACTAATTAGGGTAATAAAATCTCTGCCTCACGATGTTTCCTCGTCTAATTGCGTAATTCCGTGACGTACATTTTTCTACGTTTCGCACTCTCGTACGTGCAATAAATGCGCGTTTAATTTTTTTTTTTTATCTCGACTTTTTATTCCGATTCCGAAATTAACGTTGATACGACTGATAAGAGGAGACGAAATACGTTGATACGGACTGATAAGATGAGAGTTTGACAAGATTTATTCGAACAACGCGGTTAATCACAATCAAAACTTTATCGCGGCAATTTCGCCCGGAACATTCCGGCGGAGCGGCGCTTTATGATACTCTCTTTTTTTTTCCCCGTTCTCAACTACTACCGTTAATATTTTCGCGCTTCACGCGACACTTAAAGTGTCCGAAAAACTGCAATTGCACAGTAAAAGGCTCGTATCAAATGGTCAGCCAAGAGCGTTATCCTCACGGAGTACTTTCCGCCACACGGGGCACTTCGCGTAATCGTTTTTGCGGAAAACACGCTTCGTCCGGTCACGTAAGGGAGCGGCAACAACGTTATTGTTATCGCGATCGTATTTTTACAGTTTCACGAATGTTTCTGTTTCAACTCGCTCACCATATAATTTTTGACGATGTTGTAACACTGTTATTTCCTAAAGTTCTCCAAGCATCCGATCAAGGAAGTGGTTGTCACCGATGGTGGTTGGTTGCGTGTTGAAGAAATTTCTGCGTGTCACCGGCGTGTCGTCGTAAGTTTTTTTATTTTTTACGATCGACTCGCGGTGTCGTGAGCGAGAGACCGAACTTTCACAATTCCGCAGAATCCGCGGAAAATGATTTTTTTTCGCGGATCACTGACATCTCGACGACGACGACGACGACGACGATGACGACGACGACGACGACGACGTCGAAGACGAGAACCTATTCTCTTCGCTCCAGCGCACTTCCTTAATAACGTAGGGCGAATCACGTTCGTGGATACGAGAAAAAGAGATCTTCAAGAATTCGTACGCGAAATAATACGGTGGCGGAACTTGAAAAGCTTCATCCTTCACGTCCGTACGATCGCATTAAACCGGATTAAAACTGCCCGCGCGTTTAATCGCAGTTTGAGAATCTCGTTTTCTTCAAGTTTCTCTCCCGTTTCTTTTTTTCCTCTTTATCGAAAATTGAATTTGTTTAATACACGATTTTTTTTCTTCGTATTTCGCGCGCTCGCACAAATGAAATCGTCGTGGGTTTCCACGCGTCTCACTCTCGAGATAAATTGATGACAAGTCCTCGCTTTCAGATATCGCCCACAAACCGGAGAACTCGCGCACACATACGAAGCTCACACAGCTGTCGGGAATAGAGAATTCGATGTTGTGATATATATATACATGTATACTTTAACGCGGATTTCTGCCGATACATTTGCGCGCCATCGCGAAAATATTACATCGCGCGCTCGAATGGTTGAAATTCGAAGAGCTCTTTGAATCGCGGAGAAGACATTCACAACCGGCGATTATATACCGGGTTTCTAAAATCGCATCACGAAGGTGGTTTATTCACATTTGAAAATCTGTTTTTTTCCACTTGATTACTCAGACACGCGCCGGATATTCATCCTCTCGAATTCCGCGCACAAAAACCAGCTTTTTTTTTTTTTTTCGTTTGTTTCAAATCGACACTACAATGTCCCGCTCGTCATACTTGCGCAAACTAGGTTTTTATATACAAGCGAGAGACTCGCGCGCGCGCGCATACACACACACGCACACGCACACGCACGCACACACATACACACGCGCGCGAGTGCTCTTTAATCCGGATTTCACTGAATCTGTTTCATAGCACTCTCACTTCAAGTATCATCTCACTCGCCACAGAGATACAATCCCCAGGATCGAATTTATTTCAAACCGATTCGCGAACTCGTAAGCAATCTCCGGGCGATCCGCGCGAGATGAGAAATTCTTACAATTGTCCGCAAATTCTTCGAAAACTCGACGACGACTTTCTTCGATCCGCGCGCGTATCTCGTTTCAAGATTTCACGCGTTTTTTTTTTTTTCTTCTAACCTCCTCGAGTCGGCTCTGATTTCTCGATCGACCGCAATTTTATTATCAAAAATCTCCGCATTCTCACACGACAATATTCCGTTTTACGTCAAGCACTCCGAAACTCGCTCGGAGCGAAGAAGAACGAAAAGAAAACCAACACGCTGCTCGACAAGTAGTAAACAAACGTGCTAGCGAGCCAACCGACGGGGTTCCCGAGCGAGTTTCTAAATAAAATTTAATTTTACTGATTGCACACACGCGCGTATTGCTTGTCGAGATCGCATTTGTCCGCGATTGAACGATCCACAATTGTCACTTACTTGTTCTCGTCAATTGCTCACAAGTCATTTTCACTCCCGTGCGAGTTCATACGTCGAGCGAAACGCACTTTTTCGAATCTTCCTGCAAATATCTCTCCAGCCATTGCCGTATCTGACGATTGCCGTCGGGAAATTTTGATCGCGCTTCTGGTCAAACGGCACGACGGGAAGACGCGGGAAATGAAATCGACGAGTTTTCACCTAGGAATTAGGACGGAATCTCGAGTTTTTTCTTGAAAAAGAGGTCCGAAATTGGCGGCGAATGCGCGCGCGAAACCACCACGAGTGATGCTGAGATCAGACTGGAGCCTCCGGCGCGGCGCTAGCGTCGCTACGAGCGAGAGGCAAACCAAAATCGCCCTCCGCCGCGCAGCGACGACCAACCCCTGGAAAAGGAGGAGGAGGAAGAGGGTTGATGGCAGTGGCGGAGGAGAAGCTAAGTCGCCCGGAGTTTAAGGTGTGAATCGCGTGACAAAGTTGGAGCAGCCGACTTGTAATGCGACTGCTATTCTCCCCGGAAGATTAGTCAAGCTTATCTTCGACCATAAATCGAGTTGAGTTGTGCCTTACGCGCTTTTTATGACACTAAGTTTCAATTAGAACAACGTCTTTAATTTCGAAACCAAAATGATAAAATAACGCGACGCACCCGATTGTATATCGCTAGATGTTTACGTTAGTCACAGGTGAAAGTAAAAAAAATTACGTTGCGATAAATGTTTTCAAGTGACGAGAAGCTTCTTTATATAATGTCTTCGAACTATTCGAAAAACGAAGTTAAATAATATCAAAGACATGGTCAACAAAAGCACGATAAACATTTTCGTAAATAACGCAGGCAAATATGTTTGTTATATTCCGCGCGTTGCAGGAAAGTATTTTGTCACATTTGCACTTGTTACTCGATTGTTTGCGAAGCGAACAGTTTTGACGATGACGTTTGTATCGACGTTAATGGTCCGCTTTCGGGGGTGCTATCTCAATTATGCGCATGTAGCATATAATGCGCGCGCGGCGCAGCGCTCGCCGGCGGGATGATGTGTACTATCGTACACTCCTGATCCCACCTCCGTTTGTTACACATCGCGATGTAACGTGTCAGAAGTGTCTATTGATCTCAGTGATGTCGAATGCACAGAACGGTCTAATGCGTTAGCCGTATCGAATGGTCGATGCGCCGGCAATAGATCATCCGACGGGCGGCTGAGATTTCGGAAATTACCTATCCGATATCGCGGCGCCGCGATTTGCAAAAACGATGGTCGACATTGACTGATGCGCGAATGACTGGAAAACTCGATTTTGCGTAAAAATAAAAAACGAAAAAAGAAAAAAAAAACTAAACGACACAAAAAGAAAAAAAAAGAATGACGCGGTCCGCGAAACTTCCGTATTCGACGGCAAATTTCCGAATTGCGTGGTGGAACAAGTGAAGGAGGAGAAGAGGAGGAGGATTCAATCGACCGACACACCTCATGGCATGGCAGGGAACAAATACTTTTGCTTGCGCACGAGAAAGCAAAAAAGAGCACGACCGCGTTTTGCATAGCGTCTTTTCTGTACACGGTGTTTCAGAACGGAAGATAGCGACATACGTTTCTTTCGCGAAATGGCACGCGCTTCTGTCATGAAAACTCGTTTTTTTTTTGTTTTTTTTTTTCATCTGCAGTAAAATACGATGGCCACTTCTCTCACGCGCTACATCTCGTGCCGCGAAAATTTACATTCGAGATATTCAAATGCCGTATTTAGTATGTGAGGTATGCTTACTTTGCGTAAGAATAAATCCGTTCCCGGTAAAAAAAAAAACTCTCGCGTTATCGTAAATATTCGTCACGTGAGTGTATCTGAAATAAAATTTAAGACCTAGCAATTCGAAGCGCATTGAGTTTGAAATTTCCCGACGAACGCGTGTTTATTTCCGATGAGACCAAAATTTCGGAATAAAACAGGAAAAAATATCGTCGACTGTTCGATGCAATTTTATAAAGATACATTTTTATGTTTATTCATCGCGTTATCAGATATTCAAACAAATTCGAGTAAAATAAATAAAATTTCTGTTTACTTAAAATTTATGTTATTGTTATTCTTCTAGTTTAACATCTTGTCACTTCAATTTAGTTGATAACATTGAAGTGTGAATAAAGTAGAACAAAACTATTTTCTAGCAAATTTAATGAAACGTGAATTTATAATAATTCTACACACACACACACACACAATAACTCGCGGAAAATTTCACAGCAACTTGCGCGGCACAGCCAAATGCCTGTTTTCATTTTCTTGTTTTGAGTGCGACGTTAAAACTGTTTGTCAGAAAATCAAATCGCGCGCACGAGGATACCCATGTAGGAATTGCCGACAGACTTCCAGTAATACTACTAGGCCAACAATGGCCCAACCTTTATAGCCGATACTCGATATTGACAATTGGTCCAGTATTGTCCCATTTTTGTATTTTATAACAGCCCAATATTGGCCCGTTTGTTCA